AGGAATGGGGCTATTTAATGTCATGAAAAAAATAAGCTTATTTGTATAAATCTCAATTGTAGTAAATATTAATCTCTCCCTCTAGAGCAGTGGTTCTTAATCTGTGGGTCACAACTCCTTTGGGGGTTAAAAGACCCTTTCATAGAGGTCGCCTAAGACCATTGGAAAACACAGACATTTACATTGTGATTCATAGCAGTAGCAAAATTACAGTTATGAAGTAGCAACAAAAATGATGTTATGGTTGGGGACCACCACACATGAGGAACTGTATGAAAGGGCCCTAACATCAGCAGGGCTGAGAACCACTGCTCTAGAGTGATCAGCTGTGGTGTTGCTTTTTCAAATGCTAAGTGCAGACCATTTGAATACAGTGTGCAGATGAAAGAGAGATGAGCGTGTGGGGTCACGCACTTCAGACTTGTTGGTGGAGCTGCTGAGCTTTTAATGCCTTTTCCCCGGGTACTGAAACTAAAGGGGAGTTTTATACACGTACAGAAACCAGCCCCCGCTACAGCTGGTAACTAACTACTCGAGTTAACTGTGTTCCTGCACTAGAATAGCTCTGTACTAACAAGATAATGCATCCTCACCATGTCATCTTAAAATACATCTTCAGAATGAATGGGAAAGAGGTAAGAGTGTCAGCAAGAGATATAACAAAAGAGTGAGGTTCCTGGCACTCTGAAGACCCATGGATTTTGTTCAAATGGCAATGATGAGTCACAGCCACCATGCTTAAAAGGTTAACTCCCAGCTTCTTCAGATATATATATATATATGTCATATGGGAAAAATGTAAGTGGAACTACACTGTAGCAGGGAGACAATACTTCTCCCAGATATTATAAAGTCTATAGACTATCAAATTAAAGGCCCAGCACAAGGAATGGGTTATCCTTTCTTGGAGTTGTTGATCTGTGAGTTCCCACAGACTCCTCCAGACATTACAAACTATTGCCAGTGCTCTTGGTTGCTTTCCAGAACTCAATGGTAAGACCGATTGCTGAAGGTACCACATACTCGAGTCATAGACCATGGGGAAATGAAGCTGGTGCTGACCTGGCAGCTTCATCTCTACTCACTAGCTTTAATAGCACTGGAAGGTTCCATGCAGGCTACCGGAGGAGAAAAGTGATCGTCAGCCTTACCCATCTGTGATCCCGGCAAGCCACAATGGTGACTGGCCAGGCTAGGTGTGCCTGCCGGTGCAATAATGGCATAGGAGGTGTAGGAGTAACCAACCACTCTCTTGTTTGGATTTAAGGCCCACTCAAGACCGAATTCAGGTCTGGCGCCATTGACAGGTAGGTAGCTAGGTAGGTCAAAGGCCCTAGCGAAGATCCTGCTACTATTAGTCTGCTAGATGGACACAGTATTAAATCAAGTCCTAAATATTTATCGTTATACTCACAGATGAGTGCATCTCTCAACCCTTATCACAGAAGCTTCCTTTTGAAGTAGATGGTGACTGTGGCAGTCTGAATGCTAATGGCTCCCATAGGCTCATATATTTGAATATTTGGTACCCAGTTAGTGGAAATGTTTGGGAAAGATTAGGAAGTATGATGTTGTCGGAGGAGGTGTGTCACTAAGAGTGGGCTTTAATGTTTCAATAGCCTATCCAAGGCCCAGGCTCACTCTCGCGCGCGCGCTCTCTCTCTCCTCTCCTCTCCTCTCCTCTTCTAAGAGCAGCCTTATCTAGCCATGCAGAATACCTCCAAACTCTTTTTTCTTTTTTAAGCTTATACTTTGTAATTGACCTACAAGACAATGGGTTTCTGTATGGCCTTTTCATACGGCCTGTTTGGTTAATCCAGACTCCACCCTCTTCTCTCCCCCATCCTCCTATCTGTCAATCAAAGCATACCCACCCCAGCATCTCTTCCCTGCTTTCATATTACCTGTGTTCTACCCCCTCTCACTCTGCCCCTGCGTCCTTTAGGCATCCCTTCTCCAATAGGCCCCTTTCGAGCTTCGATGTTAGCAGTGGCCATGGTGGCCACAAGAGGGCGTCAGATTCCCCTGGTGGAGTTACAGATGTTTGTGAACCACCATGTGGGTGCTAGAAAGTGAGAACAGGTCTTTGGAAAGAGTAGCCACTGCGGGGTCATTATGCCAAAGGCTTGCTTTGAGGGGGGTTCAGGTCCCAAGGAGGATGTGTGGAGTCAGTGGGGGTTGGGGTTGGGGAGCAGGGGTGAGGGGTACAGGGCCCTGACACAATCTGAGGGTGGATCAGGATGGCTGCCAAGACAACCAAGAGGAATGGCAAGGACATGTATTGTTTGGGGGGCATCTGGAGCCTCCTTTTTGAACAATACATAAAAAGGTATCCCGCACCTGGCTGTTGTCCACCAGAACTACAGGAGAGCCTTTTGGTTGAAGGCACCACACGCTTTTGGTGAGAAACCAAGTTGGAGGCTTCCTTCGGCAGGTTAGCTCTCATAGTTCTTAGTCTTAGGTGTGGGCCTGTTCCCCTTGTGACGCTCCCCAAAGGGAAGGTACCCACCCATGTCTTACTCTTTTCTCATTATACTGTACCATTCTGATTTCTCTACATTTGGTAACTGAACTCTTTCCCTTAATGGCCTCAGGCTCTGAGTTTTAGGCGGTTCATCCTTGGGATCAGATGTGTCTAGTAAGTCTCTTAACTTTCCTGTTTTGGTAATAATTAGGCACAATAGAATTCCTGGTCCCGTGGTGGCAGAGATTATGTTCCAAAGAATTATTTAGAGAGGCTACCATTGTACACATTTTTATTCTTTACCAAAGCCTGCACAAAATTCCCCAAAGGGAAAGGCATTGATATTTGGGAATCGTTAGAAACGGAAGTAAAAAGGTGCTGGAGAAGTGTGGTGTGCAATGTTGGAATGCTGGGACTTTGTCAAGCAGCAGTGGTCAACATGTGGCCTACGCCACCATTCATTTTCTCCTGCCCAAAACTGCAGTTTAAAAAAAGAAAAAATGGGAACCATGACCCATGCCTGTAGTCCCAGATTCAGGGGACAGAGACAGGAGGATTAAGAGTGCACACTCATGCTCAGATACACAGTGAGTTTGTGTGCAGTGTGGGCTACTGAAAACATTTCAAGAACAGTCATTTAAGGTTTGTATCACACACACCAAGTGATACAGATTCAGGCCTGATATTTGCTGAGCATTTTTTTTCCAGTACTGGACAATGAAACTATAAAGAAGAAAAGGAATTTCCTTATACATGAGATGCTACAATTTTCCTGTTGTTGGTTGTTTTTGGTCTTTTAGGGGGCCTACTACCCAGATCCCAAATAAATCACATATGGAGGCTTATTCTTAGTTATAAATGTTTGGCCTTAGCTTGGCTTGTTTCTTGCCAGCTTTTCTTAACTTTAAATTATCCCATTTATCTTTTGCCTCTGGGCTTTTTCCTTTTCTTACTTATGTAATCTTACTTTCACTCATACTCCATGGCTGGCTGTGTAGCTGGGTGGCTGGTTCCTGGAGTCCTCCTCCTTCTCTGGCTACTTCTCCTCTCCTCCCAGATTTCTCCTATTTATTCTCTCTGCCTGCCAGCCCCACCTATCCTTTCTCCTGCCTTGCCATTGGCTGTTCAACTCACAGAGATCTGTCTGCCTCTGCCTCCAGAAAGCTGGGATTAAAGACGTGTGCCACCACCGCCCAGCTCAATGGTTAATCTTAATTGTCAACTTGAGATGATTTAGAGTCACCTAACAGTAGTTCTCCACCTGTGGATCTTGACCCCATTGGGGGAGTCACATCAGATGCTTACACAATTCCTAACAATAGCAAAATTACAGTTATGAAGTAGCAACGAAAATAATTTTATGGTTGGGGGGGTCACCATAACATGAGGAACTGTATTAAAGGGTCGCAGCATCAGGAAGGTTGAGAACCACTGATGTAGGAGACATAGTCTGGGCATATCTGCGAGGTCATTTCTATAGTTTTAACTAAAAATTATGTACCCTGAATGGGGGAACCACCATCCCATGGGCTGTGGTCCCAGATGGAATACCAAGGTGAAAGCCAGAGGACAACAGCGTTTATCTCTCTATGCTTCCGCCTGCAGAATCCAAGTGCCCAGACCTGCCTTGTCCTCCATGCTGTACGGCACTCTCGAAATGCAAGCCAAGGGGCACGGAGAGATGGCTCAGTGGTTAAGAGCACCTGCTGCTCTCACAGAGGGCTCGTTTCAGTTCCCAGCACCCACAGGGTGGCTCACGACCATCTACCTGAAACTCCAGTTCCAGAAGATCCCCAGGCTTGGGTTGGCAAATACTGCTACCCTTGTAAAGGCGTGTGAGGGCACCAGGCACACACGTGATGCACATACTCACCGTCAAACTAGACACATTTTAAAGATATTACTAAGTTTGATGGAAAGATTTAGGAAATGACCCCTGTGCAGCATGTTTATATGTAGTTCTAAGAGCCATTGTAATATGCGTTAGCTATGATGACATTGACTTAAATTGTTTACACACGTAAACATTTTACTGAAAAAAAGACTTAGTCCCAGGGAGCCCAAGTCTTTGTGGTCTTCCCAGTGTGGCCACGTTCACTAAATATCCTTTTTCTGCCTTCCGCTTTTAACTGGCTTATTGAGGTCGGAACTGACTCGGGACAAAGGTTACGACCCCACCCCAACCCAACCCCCAAGTTCGATAATACCCCCACCCCGGACCCCTGGAGCCCACGGGCGGCTGTGGCTCAGTGCCCACGCTGGCTTGCTCCTTTCTTTGGGTTCTACCCACACCAAGCCTTGGATCTTCGACTCAGAAAAATGTAAAAGCCTCTTGTCGGGCTTTTGCTTCACCTGCAGAACTTTAGGCCAATCACGCCCGGCCTCCGGGGAGTCTACGCATCTGCACACGCCAATCCCGAGCCGTCCACGCGAGCCCAGGCCCAGCGCACACCCTAGCTGCGTCCTTGGCCCTGGCTCCCCCCGGGATCGTAAGCGTGGGAGCCGCGGCAAAGAGAGACTCCCTGCTCCTCCCACGTCCTCTTTCCTTCCTGGCCGGACGGACGCACTTCCGGCGGATGTGGCGGGGGCTCGGCCCCGGAAACGGAAGTGAGCAGCTTGGCCGGCCGACGGGAGCGGGCTTAGAAGCTTTCGCAGAGCGGTTTCCAAGATGGTGAGTGAGCGCAAACGCCCGTGGTCGCGGCGGGTGTCCGTGGCGCGGGCACGATCGCGGCTGCGCGGCCCCGGCGGGTGCCTGGTTCCGGGATGAGCCTGGCTGCGCGCTCCCGAAGGGTGCCTGGCGTGGGCACGGCCGCGGCTGCGCGCTCCCGAAGGGTGCCTGGCGTGGGCACGGCCGCGGCTGCGCGCTCTCGGGGGGTGCTGCTTCCCGTGGGACCGCGCGCTTCGGTCCCCAGGGCCTCCCAGGCCTGCGCGCCCCTTCCCCGGTAGTTGGCGCGGACGCACAGGGCACCTCTGAAAGCCGACCCTTGTGTGGGTGCTGGATACCGCCACTCTCCCGCCCCCTCGGGGTGACTGGAGCCCCCAGGCTCTGCCCACGACGGCAGGTTGCGTTTATACGACTCAGCCTGGGTTTGCAGACATCTCTCCCTGTGCCGTGTGTTGGGGCGCGGTTGTTGCTCCCGGTTTGTCCGTATTGGTTAGTGCTTGGACTCCCTCTCTCCCCCTTTCCCACTTTCTGTTTCTCTTTGAGTAGACTCCTGAGTCACCACGGCACAGACCTGATACTCCGTGCAGCCCGTTGCCCACGCACGCCCAGAAAGCTTGTGGTGTTGGCCAACACTCCCGCTAGCCGTTGTAAAGGAGTGTGAGAAGCACTCTTTGTAGACTCACTTTTATCCGACACTGTACTAGGACCTTCAGGAGCCCTGATAGTTTGCAGAAGGACACTGGGAAGATGGGAACAGCAGTTCTAGAGTGCATAGAGAAACTTTTCCCCGCGTCACTTTTCACTAAAGCAGCTGCAGGAGGAGCATGTAGCGGGTAGCGATGTCACTTGGCATCGGGAAAGCTGTATTCATATGGGGCTGGTCCTGGCAGTCGGCTTGGCTGGCAGTCACTGAGTAGGTGGCATTCTGTGAGATTGCAGGTTCTCATCCCGATCCCCCATGGCTTCCCGGCAGCAGTGTGGGCTCTTGCTTTGCGGAGTCAGGACCCTGGACTTTACTTCTCAGGTGTTAATGAAGCGTAGATGGGGTCTTTGGCAGTTTTGGCGGTGAAGTTGAGTTTTTTTAGGGAAACCTTCGCTGTGCAGAATTGGGAGATTGGTGAGGCTCCGGCAAGACCCTGGGGTGCTGGTGCCACATGCCGCTAGCCGCCAGGTATAAATACACAGATGAACTAAGTCTGTCGTAAAGCTGCCTTCTCGGATAGGGGTGTTAGATGGCAGGTGAGAGTGTGTCAGTTCCAGGGGTGCTGCTTTTAACTTTTCACGGCATTTCAGTTAGCTGCATTTACATTATTTTACTTATGGTAACCAGCCCCCCTCTCTTAGTTCCTATGACCCCATTTTCCTAGGTGTCAGGTCTTAATTCCGTCTTTCATTGTTGTTCCTAGATCTGTCCCAAGGAGCGGGCCAGTGTTCTGTCCTCAGCCTCTTCACTGTGTTAAACACTGCGTTAAACTAAGGGGAGGTCTCTCTGCAGAGAAGTGAACCTGCGTGATCTTCCCAGAAACCTTCCTAGACTGTCAATTTTGGGGCGGAACTTGGGGCTTGTTTGTTTTTTTAATATATGACTGTCCGTCTTTGAAAATTTTGCCACTTCATTACTATGTTAGTCGGTCATCTCAGACTGGTTGTAGCTTGTTTATATGTTTGTATCTTTATGTTATTTTTTATATATATATAAGAAGCTCTCCCTTCTGGCACAGTCAGCAGGGACAGCGGGAGTCCTTCTGTCCCCAAAGGTGGGATTACTCACTGTGCCCTGTGGGCTGGCTGCCACAGTACGCAAGGCTCTGTCTGTGTAGATCCCGGCTTCTTGAGGGCACTGACCTTACTTGTCATCTCTAACTGCTGTGCGACTTTGTCTTGTAGAACGCCAGAGGCCTTGGGTCGCAGCTGAAGGACAGTATTCCAGTTACAGAGCTCTCAGGGAGTGGGCCGTTTGAGAGTCATGATCTCCTCCGGAAGGGGTATGTGGGGAGCTGTGGCTGGGCCTTGCGCTAATGAACGCTTCTGTGGGCTCCTCCCCAGGGACTCTTTGAAAGGCTGTGCATGTATGTTAGATTTGGGCTCCAGTGCGTCACACACTCAGATGGAGCGTGGAGAGGAAGAGGCCTACATGGCCCTTGCATTGGGATGAGTATCTCAGCAGAGTAGGAGCCGTCCTCCAAGTGTGTGGCACCTTGTAGGATGATGGGTAGGATCAGACAAAATAAAAACAAATAAAACTTTAAAGGAGATTAATAGGCTAGCCACAACCAAGTCTTGGGGAATTTTTGCTTCAGCATGAAATGTTACTTCTTCCTGGGTGGTGGTGGTGTACACCTTTAATTCTAGCACTTGGGAAGCAGAGGTAGAGGCAGGTGGATCTCTGTGAGTTCAAGGCCAGCTTGGTCTACAAAGCGAGTTCCAGGATAGCCAGAGCTATACAGTAAAACTGTGTCCTGAAAAACAAAATCAGAAAAAGTAATGTTGCTTCTTTTCTTCCAAATTAGCTAGTAAGACTACATTCAAAGGGCTGTTTTCATGGTCTGTCTTTCTGATAACGTTCTATTCACAGACAGTGCTCAGGTCTGTCTCTCTGATGACGTTCTGTCTGTCCACACACAGTGCTCA